GAACGCCAAGTCCCATGGCGAAGTCTTCTATGGGAATGAACATCGTATCGCTTGCTCCTGCGCATTACAACGGTCAGCAGGTTTCTCCCCCAGACAGCCAGGTTCTGGGTGCCAGTCAGAACGTTTCCGTAGTGCAAGCAAGGGGCTCGTCGTCCGCTAACTTTGTTGTAAGTCCGGTATCGCTCGTTCGACTTTTCTAAACAGTTTGCTTTTGCTTTCAGGAGCCGTCCAGGATCACGATCAGCCAAGGCGAAAGTTATATTCCCATCTCTAGCAGCTCTCAGTTCACTCATGTAGACCCCTCTAGCTCTTTCTTCGTGAAGGAGAACGCACCATTCGTCATTCAGGCGGTTCGGAGTCGAAAAGTAGAGAAGCCAACTCCGCAGAATGCCATAGCTGCCGCGTTTACGGAATATTCAGCGGCCGATATCCCAGCCATGCCGAGTTCTGGACTGAAAATGCCGCAGTCACAAGCAGCGGCTCGTGTGACCGACTGGAGGCCGACTTCGAACTGGGCGTTGAACGTGGGACAGTCGAACTTTCCGAATGTCAGGATAAACTTACAGCCGTCGTACGAGATGCCGATCGCAGCAGCGACATCTAATTACTTTTATGAATCTCCGGACATTGCTTGTGTGCTGCCAGTTCAAAATCACGGCGACTGTTACGGAGGGGTACAGAAACTGACCCTGGACGATTGTTCGGCTCCTGGCGATTTTCGTTTACGGCAAGGCGGCTTCCAGCCGTCGTCCAAGCCACCGGTCGACGCGTACGGCTCGACTGCTTCGATGCTCGCCGGCCCAGAGCAGAAGCTGCTGTCGTTCGCCGCCGACCCTCGTGGCCTCTCCGTGCAGGCTGACCCCAGCTACATCGAGAACCTCTGTCAACGCGTCAACAATCTGCTGTCCGCAGCGCGTTACCCGCCGCCCAGCTGTTCGTCGTCGTCCGTTACGTCGGCGGCGACAGGCCACCTGCTGTTGACCAAGCACGAGTCTGCCGGAAGTTCGTCCAGCGACACCGGCCAGACCGAATGTGCCGCCGCCGCATCGGGGGCCATCGGAGGAGGAGGCGACGGCGTAAAGTTTGCCGTTGCCGGTTCCGTACCGTACACCGTCAAGAATTTCGACGCGGTCGTCAGCTCGATTTTTCGTGAACGCGCGTCCCCGACGTCAAGCCTGTCGACGGAGAGCTCTGAGGGTGGCTGCCGGGACTGTAGCAGTGTCAACTGTTGTATGCGCAGTGAATCTCCCTTACCCGACGTCATACGCAAGCAGCTAGACTTGAATACGTACGAAGTCGGCAACGGAGTGAAGCCGTGCACCCCGCAGGCGTTTAAGTTTTTCATGGAGCAACACGTCGAAAATGTGATAAAACTGTACAAAGATCGCGTGAACCGCCGCCTGCAGGTTTGCTTTTAGCTTTGTTTCTGTTCGACGGTGCCTCATCAGCCTTTCGTCCTTTTGCTCCTTTCGCTCCGCACTACCGGCGCTTCTTGGAGGGGGACAGCACAGCGTCTCAGCGGTACTGCGGTCAACACCTAGACACGTCAGTTCCTACGATTTAATGATGATTTGAAGCTGTATAACTGGCAGGTGTCCACCTGTATCACGTATTTGATTTCATTGCTCATGTTATATCAGTATCGATGCAAAGCTTTTTGTGAACACGTTACACAGCTTTGGTGAGACTTGCGAATTTCGAAGATTGATACTTTTTATGATTTCACTGTGATGACCGTGTGCGGCCATTAAGTCAGCGGGTAGTCCTGCGGTCGCGAGTCGAATCTGTACGAGTCGATAGTGTCTATGTCTGTACGTTTTGCATGTTACATATGAACGAAAAGCATAATTTCGTATGAGCACAATATGAAGCTCTTGTCAAACGTGAAACATCCTGCAGGTGAAGATACTGCGTTCCAGAATTTCTGCTTTTTCTCCAACGTTTCGGATCGTACTCGATCCGTCTTCAGAAAGCCACATCATACCAAGAATGATCACTAGGAAATGTTTCAGTCAGGTAGCAGTCCCACTAGCGAGCTTTTACGCGAACTGAGTTCCATACCAACTCCTTGTTCATGCACTGGTTCGATTGGACTAGCAGGGCTTTCTTTATCCATCGGCTTAGAAAGCTTTTTTCGATGTACTCCGGTCGCCTTATCGCACAATATTCTGTGTTGTTCTTGACTGCGGGTTTTGCACACCGCGCCCGAATTATCTTCGCATCTCTTTTTCACTTCTTGCTGATCTTCCAATTTGTCCTCTGCATTTCGTTTTCTGTGCTTGTCCATGCTGACGTAGACCTACACGATCTTGTCAGGTTGTTGATGAGTTTTTTCTTCTCTGCTACGGTGTTCCGGTTTAAAAAAAGATTATGATCAGAACTGCTTTTGTCAGACTTGTGAATTTCGAAGATTTCCATGTTATTTCGATTGCATTGCGACAGTTGCCGGGGATCATGAAGTGAACGCACATTACAACGGGCAATCGGATGATTAATCAGTACCGACGTTTCGGCCCGGATCTCACGTTTCGACCTGGCCTTCTTCAATGCAAAGAAGTGTGGTGGCTTCGTAAGTCCTTCTGGCCTGAATTGGCGAACCGCTGCGAACTGCTAAATGCACTTCCAGCCAACCAAGACAACCAATCTCTCTTGACAATCTGTCAAATTTTTTGATGTAAAGATTTCGTGACTCGCCATGGCCGGTCCCAAGCCCGGATGAGAAAGGAGGAGGGTTGGAGACCGTGGCAAGTCTCCGTAA